ATAGTTGAACTAGTAGTGAACGAAGAGCCACAATAACCACACTATGGAGTGATTAGGGACAGGGATAAATTTCTCATCATAATCTCCAAAAGTCGTCATCGAGCATTTTATCGGACAACAAAGTACTTCTTGTCATCCACCTTGATAAGCCAGCAAATAGCTAATACGAATAAGAACTATTCGCTTTTCATGTAGACCATCAGGTTGACCATATTACAGTAGTTAACGAATATTTTTTGACACATCTAACCACTTAAACGAAATAGCGTGTGGCGTAGACTCAAAACCCTCAACAAAAATATTCTCCAACAGTGGCATCTTCTTTTCCCGATGTCAAGCGTTCTAATGAATTTCAAAGATCGCTCAGAGCGTATAATAGTCCTGCAAGATGAGTGTGTGAGCACGTGTTTCTGTCAAGTGTGTGAGAGATTGTCAGTGTGTGTGTGAACGAGCCAGCCGTGGGAACCAAGAGTGGCGGTCTCTCGTAAAACTAGTATAAAGATGTAATGAATGCAAACGGCTCAGACCGCTATGCTTTGTTTGCCGACCATTACTTCGACAGGCTCGCACACGCGCAGACACACACGATGCGCGCACACGCACCATCCGACCAGTGGCGTTGCTTGGTTAAATTCTAGGGGGGGGAGAAGCCTCAAATTTCCCAACTGCTTAACATAGATTTCCCAACTATTTTTTATTAAAAAAAATCAATTTCTGTACTATTTTTAAAAATCTACAAATTATTATACTACACTGCAGTCACACTCAATTCAGTATTTATTAACTTGCATTAACAAAACATAGCTAGTTTTACATGTATACAAAATTACTCAATTCAAAAAACGTCTAAAACTTCTACCAATTCATAATGAAGTTTTATGACTTCAAAAACTTGAATAAGTATTGTTTCAAATCCAAAAAACTTTACAAACCATTGTGGTAGCAGTGTAAAATTTTAGGGATATAAAATAAGCCTAGTACAAATTAGTATAGAAAAACAATATTTTATTACAAAATAATGAAATTACAATACTTTTAGAAGTTGATATTAAGATCAACACTTTAACTTTCATAAAACTTACAACTAGGCCTAAACAAGTTTGTAATGATGAAATATTATTATCAGTGTTGTGAATAATATTATTCTAGTCTAGAAAAGAATAAACCTAAAATAAGACTTGTATAAAATAAAAACGTTCAACTTGGTTGATAATAAACTTATACATACAATAAAAATGTTAACCTTCATCTTCATCAAACTAGAACTTGGACAAAAATCAAACTCAAACGTGAAAGTCAAACATCAAATTTTAGGTTATGTTTTGTCTATTGTCTATGTAGATCTGTTTCAGAGTGATTAGTTGATTCATTTTTGTAAATTCTTAATTAGGAATGATAAATCACTTTTGTAGATTTTTTAGATAATATTCAGAGAATAAATATTTCATTTAGGTTATTAAAAATTAGAGTTTTAAAGGCAATACCGATATACAAAACCTATCTTTAATGTTATTTTAATCTACCTATTAGCAAGTACTCCTGTCAGTAAGCCTGCTCCAAATACTACAAAAAAAGGTATAAAATATAGTTTATTTGACTGACATGAAAAATATTTTTGAACTTCTTGTAAACACTAACAAACAACATAATTGAACTGAAGAGCTACGCCGCTTGCACTTTCAAAGTTCAAACTCGCAGTCTCGCAGACGAACCATTCAGAAAATCATCAACACAGGACAGGATCAAGGTAGCCAACATACGTCCAATAAGGAACAAAATTTCTCGTAAACGAAATTCCAACAAACTATACCGCTAATTGGTTAACGATTTCTTAAAATAAGGCGTGTTTAGCCATGGTTTAGCCTAGTTTAATCAAAGTTAAATTAAATCAAAGAAACATCAAGTTTATTCGTCCAAGTCAAAGAAATTTTGATCTTTGATGGATTTTCGCAAATATTTTTAAATTTTATTTAGTTTAAAAATATATTTTTCTTGTATCTGATTTCCCACCTGTCCCAACTCGTGGCAAGGAAATTCCCAACTTTTCTCTTTCCAGGATTCTAGGGGGGGGAGGCTCCCCCCCCTACCCCCCCCAAGACGACGCCCCTGCATCCGACCATCTCATATTCACCTTCACTGACTCCGTAATGTCCAAGTGTCTATTTCTTGTCAGGCTTGAAACATTTTTTCTTTTCAGTTTAAGTGGGTAGCTCACCACTGGGCGATTTTGTCCGCCTTGTGATTCAGAAGTACGCTGGTTCGATTTCAAGAATCAGTAGTAGTAGTCAGTAGTTAGTATTTTGATGGGTCGAAACTAGACAAAGATGTCCTTCATTGGGTGATCAGCTTTTTTGCTTGGTAATTATCTTAATCCAATCTAAACTCACAATTAATATTTAGCCTAAACTTTAGGGCCTAAACCACGCATAACGAAAATTATGCCACCATTTGACTGCATTCAAGGGAATACTACTGGGTTTAAGTGGTTTTATATATTTGTATTCCAATAAACTTTCATGAGAGATGTTTTCAATTTTCAAGCACTTTCATGACTTTTCCTATGTCAACGATTCATCACCCCCAATCCAGGGAGTTCTAACTTGGATGTGTCCTTATTAGTGAAGGACCCTCTCCGTCATTAGAAGATGTCCGTTTCAATCCGAGTCCAAATAATTGAGATAATAGCCTTGTTACTGTATAATATCAATTGGTTCATGAGCTTGAATCATTTCTAAAAGGCTCTACGACCAAATGGTAAAGAATAGTTGATTATAGTTTCTATTCATGTCAAAGCTTCAGTCGAGCAGAAAGTATTCTCAGGTTGGACTTTATTCCTCAGTATTTCAAAACTCGATGAGGTTGTTGATGACCGATACTGCCGTAAATTTAAAAATAAAGATTAGCTTGGTTAAGCAGAAAATCCACTTAGATATAGGTTTGCTGAGACCATTGGCAAAGTTAGGTACATTCCGAAACAAAATGGGATTGCGAAAGTAAACATTTAAGCATACAGGTAGAACATTTTTACAAAATTCTACCTAGCTTTACAACACTGGAGTATAACAATTGCAATTGATTTAGGTTATAGCTTTCATATTATTATCAACGAAAGTAAACCAACACTAATATTCTTCCAGACAAGAACCAAGAACGCCTTACAGAATAGGTTGAGGAGTATTAAATGTTGAAGCGGAAATTTGAATGGGCGAAACTAATTTTCTCATTCGCCAATAATTGTCACGGAGGCTCTGATAGCGAATCGAATAGAAGTATTGCCATCACAATTGTTCACAATAATAAAGGAGCAACAACCTTCTTGTGCGGGGGCCTTCAAAGATAATTGTAAATGATCAAGGATTGAGTTTAGGATCAAGTGTCACCTTTAAAGAGGAAACAAACTACTTATCTAGATGGCTGCAATCTAGCGATTGTTCACTGTTCAGTGGCTCATAATTAGTTGCAGTAAAACATCAATCTAATGAGACAGTTAATGGAAATACCGTCGTTGGATTCCTCCCCCGGAAGATGATATTTTGCTCTCTAAGTGTATCAAGATTGTTGGTAAGTGATGGATAATTATTCAAAACAATATTAGGCCTATTTTGGAGGCAAATCTACATATCGATGAACAATGGAACTTCTTCTATTTGATACCTTCTCTCAAACATACGTTTTGTCATCCCAATGAGACAACACGGTTTGGAAATCATGGACACAGACCTAATTAGTTCACAAATGACTTAGTGAATGAATTAGTTCAGTACTTTGGTATTATACCAAGCACACCTAATCATTTTAACCTAACCTAACCAAACCTAAGGGTGGCTATGTTTTAGGGTTAAGTTAGGTTAGGTGATATATAATAAAATCTTGTTTTGAAGCCAATTTATCGTTGTGGTCGGTATAATACCAAAGTACAATGAAGTCATTAATCGTACAAACTGAATGATAACAAACGTTCCGTCTGGGCACGTCCCTTGAGGGAGATTCGAAGAAGCGATGAAACAATGTAGGTACCGATATTGTTTGTAAGATTCAGATGTTGCGTGAGGTCTGTATTCGGTTTTTGCCGACTGTCGGGCAGCTCACTCGCATACAGATGTCCCTTGATGGGAGGCCATCTTGGGATTATTTCCGCAAAGGTCTAGTTGTAGCAATTACGACACAGTAGGACAAGTTGCGGGAACGATCTTTGCTTTGCTCTCAGAGGGGTCTGGAGTGGATAAACCAAAATCTTATTGGTCTTTGTTGTGGTTATTTCTTGTTACTTTCTATGGTTTTACGCTAAGGTGTTGTAATTTTTGAAAGTGCTTGAATGAGAAGGTTGAAACCTTCAAGAAATTTTGTAAAATTAGGACAGTCATATTTTGGTGTTAAAACACCATCGTCAGCTTCAGGTTCCTGAAGAGTTGATCAGTTGTAGACATGTCAACGGGTAAACACAGTACGGCACGACAAAAATTACGAAAAGTACAAAAAGAGACAATGTAACATTTTAAAAACAGGCCTGATCCAAACCAAAGCTGACCGACAAAATCAACTGTGATTTAAATCTTTCGATGACTCTTTTTGTACTTTTCATTTTTGTTCGTGCCTTATTGTGTTTATCCTTTGACGATGTCTACAACTGATCAACTTTTCAAGTACCTGAAGCCGACGATGGTGTTTAAACACCAAAACATGTTGAGCTGTGACGGGGTTATTGTAAGTAATTTAGTCTTTCATTATGTCCAACAGCTCAGGGGCTACAACATAAATAATTTTAATTGTTGAAACCTTCCTGATCTTGTCACTATGTATCGTCAACCCGACTTGGAATCAATCCAGTGACCTTAAAATTGATTTTAATTCGTGTAAATTATTTGATTTCATCTCATTTCCACAAACTGCTGGATTGTGTATTATCTTTGATCAAACACGAAAGAAACCCATTGATCTCCGTGTGTTACAAAGTGGGTGAGTGGTAGACAAATATCTTCTACTTGTTTTCTAGTACATACCTTGATTGCACACGAGCCTTGGGCAGCACTCAGTTCTCCTAGTGAGGACAAGGCATCCCCGTGGTGGAGGGTGTGGCAGGGGGTTGCACACCCTCAGACGACACACCAACAACCCTTTGGAACACCGACATCTCACACATGGATCAGCCATGGTCACTTCCGAGCCGTCTGCATAGTCCTTCCCATCGTGTTGACATCCTGCACAAAAGAAACAGGTCACATGTAAAGATTTCAATTAACAGATTTTTGGAATGAAATCCTAACTCACTGGGGATTGCTACCATCCTTTTGGATGAGTTTGATAGAAAACTACTTGGGTAAATTGATCTTCATCATCATCATTCATGACCCCCCCATATGAATACTGTTTTGAGGACTTGGTTGGGTGTCATAATTTTAAGGGAGGAGAAAATGCTTATTGTCATTAAGTTTATATACACAACCATCTTTTTTTCTCAAGCCGGTAGAATTTTCTAAGGAGTTATTGTAAAGAGTACAAATCGCTTTAAGAGAAAATGGCCTAAGCCCATTTTGTCAGAGTAAGGGAATAGAAACCGTCCCTCCCGCTCCCAAGTCTTCATGGTGGTTCATACCCTTTATTCGAATGTAGGTAATGAAAGATGTCCAAATACTATATGTGGTGTACAAACATACGGTTTGAATGGGCCAACCAATCGATACCTCGCAAACATAGATAGTTACGCCTGCATGCTTCATTGAGATTAATTTCGGGAACCTGCAGATTTCGGGAACGATCCAGAAGGACTGAGGAAGTAATAAAATACTCAACTGGATTGAAAAAACGGTAATTTGGGTTCCCGTTGTCGATGTTATCTTGCAGGGTGTTCACCCGGGGAACAATGGTTCTTCCAATTACTGCGATAATTACCCATGAGGCCCTGCGGGGTGATGACGAGCTTCTAGCCGTGACGTCATTGGTCATGGCTTGTCTTCGAGATCACAATTGTCGTGCTTGTAACCGATGACCTGGTGTATAGCAAGTTGTATTTATATTGCTGTTACTGGAATCAGAAGTGGATCAGAAGACCTCAGCCAACTGGATGATCACTATGTCACATCAGGCAACCAATGCACAAGTGTAAAACGGGGAAGTCAAATATTGTTGCTTTGTTACTGACTAAGATTAGCTGGTGTCTTTAGTCTGGAAATAAATTATAATCCTAATGAATAAGACCCAGCTAGGGTCTAGTTTCGAAACATCAAAAAGCTACTGACTTTTCTCACGAACCAGCAGCTTTCTGCAACATTGCTTCCGTTTCTGAATCATTGTGAATCGAAGAGATTCTTGTGGCTAGGAAAAGTAGAAATAGTCTTTCTGCCACACAATTTAGGTGAAATATACTAGCCTATTCAACTCCCAGCCCATACCCTACATTCTTCTGATTTGAAAATTCAAGTGCTACCGTCCGTTTATTCTGACATCTTTTCAACGACACCGTACTTGGTGAGAGCTCTTTTGATTTAAAACGGGTATTTTGATAAGGATTAAGGGTGAGAAGGGAATTGTGGACTAAGAACCAATAGTGCGATGTAAAACAACATGCTACAATTCCAAATATGGATATCCACTACCCTGTCAGCATAACGGAACAAACATAGTCTCATGTCTTACAAGTTGTTGAGTGGCACCGGATGTGTACATAGGCGCCGGATATTGAACTGTAACCAGTCTTCCGTTAAAGAGGTGTGAAGAGATTAACAATCGTCTGCTAAACTGAGCTGATAAGGAAACAGTGAGTGGACATAAATAAATTAGTTATTTATAATGGACAATGAGATCTTGTGTTTATGTTGAGAACTTCATTAAATTTATTTACTCAAATCACAATATTATTTACTCAAATCACAATATAGTTCAGCCAAAGCCAACAACGTATTTAGCGCTTCGCTTCGCCTCCCCTAATTTCGAATATTTGACTTGTAACTTTACACCTGCCCCCCTGACTGACGTGACGTACCTCCTCATCTAAAAGTACTCTTCTTTAGTTTAGTTTTAGCTACTCGGAACTCACAGAAGATTGCCCTCCTCCTTTGTAGTTTAATTTGTTCCAAATCTACTAGGGGTATTGATCGTATATATCATAAACTCACTACAAGTTCTCAATGCAGTATTCATATGGGGGATTTGAGTAATTCATTTGGTGTCATCATTTCAGAGAGTGGACTATACTATAAGTTTTTTTCCACAGCAGAACTCAAGCAATCTTAAATACTTATTTGTTATTTGATCTTCTCTTAGGGATTCTGTTGCAACAATTTATTCAACCTTCTCTGGTCCATCTCTAATCTAAGAAATCCTAGATTTTCTGGATAGACAACGAAGCTATAAGACTTTCAAAACAAATCCTTTATATCGACCATTAACAAGAGAGCGGAGAATATAGACGAAAGACTCCCACAATCACTAAGGTGGTCGGGGAGTTGTTACTTTGTATATAAGGAACCGGTCGCACTCAATTTTGTCGTTGTCGTGTAAGAGGCGGGGACTTAAAGCAAACAAGTTGAGGAGATAATGCTCTCTCACACCTCCACACTCCGGGCCCCGTTGACCGTCTTCTGCATTTTTTGCCCGCAGTTGTTGGAAACGGGGGCCCTCAGGGGTTCGCACTTGGACCATCTATTTTCAAGTGTATTTTCTCTATTAGTGATGAGATATTTGTTTACTTTTGTTGGTAACCATAAATCTAGGCTTCTATAGTTTAGTAGAGATATCTCCGTCATTCTTAGATCATTCTAGACTTTCTTCGTCGTACGCGGACAATAGTTTAAACTGGCTGTCGTTATTTATATAATTAATAACGGGTTCTTAGACACCAAAGGGATTACAAGCTCACTTTCACTACCCATTGTTAAATTGCCGATGGCTAAACATCCGTTAAGAATTGACTTACTAGCCAAATCTGTGAACCTTCAATCATACAGGGTTTTCATGGCTTTTAGCTAGCTCCTTATGAATTTGGATTTCCAACTGAAATGTTCAACTAATAAAATTTCTTATTACACATTTAAATTTAATTCCAGCATATTTTCAGGGGTCAATAAGGAATATAAATAAATCCAATAAATTTACGTAAACTATTTTATTTTCATACTTTTAAATATTGCTCTTGCAACTGAAACATTAAATGAGGATCTAAAAACGCGAATATTTTCTAAGGGAGCTGGAAGCTAAAAGCTTAAAGACTGTAAGAAATAAACAGAGTGGTTTAAACAAGGTAGGATTGGAATCGGAGGAGTTCCTAGATTTTTTAGCGATCCGTGAACAAATAGTTTGTGCTGATCACGAGTGCAGGGCCGAGTGCCGTTTGCCTAAAAAATTTGACGAGGATAATTTTAATGCCTGAGGATTTGTGGTACGAGTGCCAGCCAGGTAATCGGTGATCGGTTGTACAGCGCGGCGGGTGTGGGGGTGGAAAGATCGACACGGGGGGGGGGGCAGGATGAGCAAAACTAGTTTTATGGATGAAATGAAACTTGTATAACCTAACCTAACCTAAACAAACTTGCTGATTATGAAAAGACTGAATGAAGGTTTATTGATCAAATCGATATTTTCAATCGATAGAAGGGTAGCCCTTCTAAGAAACTGAGAAACTGTACCCAGTCTTCGTTACATCCTGCCTACTACGCACCCTTCCACTAATATCCCTCCCCTGAATCAGCCTTACGCTCTGGGGAGTCAAACGGCACTCGGGTCTATCTGACGGTTTTGACAGTTTATAACCCCCACGGGAAAAAATAGAAGGGCACTCGCTCTGCTTCCCGCTGATCACGGACGAGAGATGTTTGATAGATTTTGTTATGAGCTAAAATAGTAAAAACAAGTAACATAGTTGAACCTGGCTGAAGGGAACTGGGTTGGATTGGAGCAGGGCTGATTTACAGGAGCGGAAGGCTATAGATAAGAGATGAAGAATGAGAATTTGAGCTGGGACAGGGACTTGAGATGCGATTCGATAGTGATGCAAGACGAAGGAGGTTAAAGCGTAAAGCTTTTTTTCAGCGGTACATATATCCAATAGCTTGACGTTGAAGATGAGAGGTCCTAGTGACGAAGAGTGAAGGAGGATATCCAGTAAGAAGCCGGATTTGAGAGGAGCTGTTATCCAGTGTTAAAAGCTTCAGATAAGAATTGTCAAAGACTTATGGAAAATGACAGTTAAAGCTGGGACTAGCTGGATGGGAACCGGGCAGATATATATTTGGTAGAGGCTATTGATAAGAGATGCTAGTGACGGAAGGGGTTGGGAGTTATAGCAAGGATTGGGAGCCGAGCTGATATATATATAAAGTAGAGGCTATGGATAAGACCTACTAGTGACGAAGGGGTTGGGAGTTATAGCAAGGATTGGGAGCTGGATGGAAGTGGAGCTGATGCATATGAGGTAGAGGCTACGGATAAGAGAAATGAAAATCCTTTATTTCAACAGGCAAAGTTAGGGCCACATCTTACACTTAACCTAAATATAAAATAGAAAATACAATTTAACACATTATTTACACAAAAACAATACTTTTTTGACAAAACGAAAACAAAATGTCTAACAACAACAAAAAAGTCTCACACACTCAGTCAGCAATTACGCAAGTGCCAAAACAGTCCTAGGACGCACCAGCCGAGGCCAAAGTACATTTTTTTCAGTGCCGCCACGAACCGAGGACGACTATCAAGCATTTTGATGGATAAAGGTAAGTTGTTCCAAAGACGGCAGGCAGTTACAACAAAGGCCCTGTCATACTGTACTCCTATGATGAGGTGTATGCGTAACGTGAAAGATGCAGTGCGTGAACTCCTCAAGAAGAGATACTAGTGACGGAAGGGGTGGGGAGTTATAGTATGGATTGGGAGCTGAACGATATATACGAGGTAGAGGCTATGGATAAGAATCATAGTGACCTTAAAGGGTTGGGAGTTAGAGCCGGGACTGGGAGCTGGATGGGAGTGGAGCTGATACATATGAGGTAGAGGCGACGGATAAGAGATGCTAGTGACGAAAGGGGCTGGGAGTTATAGCAAGGATTGGGAGCCGAGCTGATATATACGAGGTAGAGGCTATGGATGAGACCTACTAGTGACGGAAGGGGTTGGAAGTTATAGCAAGGACTGGGAACCGAGCCGATATATACGAGGTGGAGGCTATGGATAAGACCTACTAGTGACGAAAGGGGTTGGGAGTTATAGCAAGGATTGTGAGCCGAGCCGATATATATGATGTAGAGGCTATGGATAAGACCTACTAGTGACGGAAGGGGTTGGAAGTTATAGCAAGGACTGGGAGCTGAGCCGAAATATACGAGGTGGAGGCTATGGATAAGACCTACTAGTGACGGAAGGGGTTGGGAGTTATAGCAAGGATTGGGAGCCGAGCCGATATATACGAGGTAGAGGCTATGGATAAGAATTATAGTGACCTTAAAGGGTTGGGAGTAAGAGCCGGGACTGGGAGCTGATACATATGAGGTAGAGGCGACGGATAAGAGATGCTAGTGACGGAAGGGGTGGGGAGTTATAGCAAGGACTGGGAGCTGAGCTGATATATTATACGAGGTGGAGGCTATAGATAAGAGTTGCTAGTGACGGAAGGGGTTGGAAGTTAGATCAGTGACTGGGAGCTGGATGGGAGCTGAACTGATTTATATGAGGTAGACATCCTAGAAACAAAACTACGCTGGGCCATTTTGCGCCGTACAGGTTTTAGGGTATGCCATACTCACTGGCGTGAACCACGTGTTTCGTTTCTGCGCAGGTCGTTTTGTTCTCGGGATGTCTATAGAGGCTACGGATAAGAGATGATAGTGACCTTAAAGGGTTGGGAGTTAGATCAGGGACTGGGAGCTGGATGGGAGTGGAGCTGAATGGACGCGGCGGTCCGCTGTCTTATCAATCAGCAATCGCAGGCCATAACTCACGGAAACAGGTTTGGCGGGGTCGGCGGTCAAGCGATCCATTCACAACTGGAGTCTGGGCTGGGCGGCGCGGCGGGCGGCGTACAATATATTACCGCAGCAACCACCAGTTTGGGCGGCAGTGGCGGCGGAAGATCAGTTGCTAAATGGATCGATTATGCTGAATCCCCTTGAAGGGCCTCTGGCCCCGCCCGCTTTTGGAGTTAAGAGCCACTTACATCCTGGGAACTTGGGCTTATCACTGGGCGGTTGTTGAAAAATGGTAGCAAGGAGATTTGCCTGCAGTATCTTTGAATATTGGATAGGTCATCTCTTCATCAGTGTAGGCACAGACATTTGTAAAACATGTTTTTCTTGGTCAAATCTATTGATCCATCATTTAGTATCCGTTACATCCAAAATTCACTTATCATAGCTTACAGAAGCTTGGTCTAAATCGGTTTCAAAACACGAGTCATTCCTTCCCTGTACATTTGGAGTGTAATCAAAAAAAGAAATCTCTCATATGAAATCTCTACATTCTTGGTCTTCAACATGAGACCTACATCAAATTGGCATTTACGTCTGTTACAATAAATAATGTTGATGTTAAGATTGTAAATAATAGTTTGTCACAGCTCACACGGGGAGACCAAGAATGAAGATGGCTGCGGCAAGATGGCTGACTGTTAACAACTTGTTGTAAAGTGTCCTGTTACTTTTGTTCGTACTTAGTTTTTCCAACTCACCTGTGCTGCTTCCCGTCTCACAGAATATTTCTCAAAGTTGTAGTGAGTCTCTGTGTCAATTAAATGTGTAAATACTAGCACCCGAATATTCACAATTACCCTGCTAACACCGGCCCTATCCCTTCAAACTGCAAAGTCATTAATTTAACCTCGTCAATTTTGTCCCAACTCCAACGTTCCATCTGTCTACTTAACACTTGTCGTCTGCTGTCAATACCATAGTGAACTCCAGTCCGCCAAAAATCCACAGCCTTCTCGATATTGAAACCGGCACTATAATAGATACCATTGATTATTTATCAAGCCCTACAGAATGTCTTCGTTGGATGTTTGTCCAGTCTGCGTCATTGCGGTAACTCAAGATGATAAAGGTGTTGCATGCGATGACCAGTGTAAGAGATGGTTTCACGCAGCCTGCGTCAAGTTATCAGCCTCGGAATACTCCAAGCTGGCAAATGATGTAAATAAAAAATGGAACTGCGGGCGTGATGACTGTTTAAATGCTGCAAAACAGCCCCTAAACATGCTAGTTGCACAATTATCATCACTGAGTAAGAATATCGCCGTCCTAACGAATAAAGTAGATACACTTATCTCTCTTCCTATTAAGATCGATCAAATAATAACTGATGTAAGCCGCCTCAACGACAATATACAGTCACTGAATGATCGTGTAACTTCAAATGAAGAACGAATTAAAGTGTTGGAAAACGCAGCCAACAACCCTACCTCTGGCAACATAAATTTTAATCCCGAGGATATTTTGGCAGAGATGAATGACCGTGCACGCCGCTCATCAAATGTCATGGTCTATAACCTCCCCGAGTCCCGCAGCACCGACATTGACACCAGGAAAAAACATGACCTTGACCTAGTCTCTGAATTGTTTAAATCCTTCTATCCTACATTTGAAAATAAAGGAATAAACACTTCCCGAATCGGCAAGAAGCAGAGTGACAAGCAAAGACCCCTTAAGGTATTC